CCATTCGCTCTCGGGCCGCTCCGGTCTCCCGTCACGCTGCCCATTCGCTCTCGGGCCGCTCCGGTCTCCCGTCACGCTGCCCATTCGCTCTCGGGACGCTCCGGTCTCCCGTCACGCTGCCCATTCGCTCTCGGGCCGCTCCGGTCTCCCGTCACGCTCCCCATTCGCTCTCGGGGCGCTCCGGTCTCCCGTCACGCTCCCTATTCACTCTCGGGGCGCTCCGGTCTCCCGACACGCTGCCCATTCGCTCTCGGGGCGCTCCCTTCTCCCGTCACGCTGCCCTGGGAGCCGGCAAATCCCAGCTGATAAGGTCCGGCGGTTTGCCGTGGGGCTGGGTGCCATCTGTGTGGTGAGGGGATTCGCCTTCCCTGGGGTGCTTTGATATCCGATATTCGCAGAGAGCTTCGCTTTCTGAAGAGAAACTTTGACAGCAGTCGAGGGGGTATTCCCGAACCGCGGAGCACCGACGAGGAATCCGGGCGGGAATCTCCGTGCGGTGGCTTTGTTTGGCCGCCAGCTGGAATCCTGCGTACACGGGTGTTGTCCCCCCCCCACCAAGAAGTTGAAAGCCCTGCATTTCATCGCTCATTTTCAAAGTAGGACAAACTCGGTACCCAGAGCTGGGGGTGGGGGGGGTTGTGAGTGGGGGGTGGGTGGGGACATGTATGGACTTGGCTTAAAAGCTCATTGATTGTCTCCATTGATTTATTTGATGCACTTGAAGCTGGGGTGGGGGGCGCTGTCCACGGCAACCAACAAAGGCAGGGTATTTCACGTCCCGCTCGCCGCTTAATTTGGCCGCTGACAGATGAATTGCAAATCCCCCGTTTCGGGAGAGTGACGGAAAAAAAGAAGTGGGCTCTGTTTTCTTTATCCGCTCACTGTTCCCGCTGCTAATTGGCCGCGGCCCACACATCCACCGGCGTGTTTTTGTTGGACGCGGAGCAGAAACGTTTCTTTCCATGGCCCTTGGCCTCCCGTGGGGGAATTCCCAATTAACCTCTGGGCCCCCGCCCCAGACGAGGGGCCCCTTGGGGTCTCCGGAGCGGCCCCGATTCCCAGCACCTCCTGGTAGATCGGATGTCATTCCTCTGTTGCTCCCGGAGCTTGTTCTCAGGCCCAGCTCCCTGCATGGTCTTGGGGTCTATGATTTATATAGTGCTCCTGGGGGGAGCTGGGGGGGGGGTTCCATGACCTAAATGTGGGTGTGAGCCCCAGGAGGATAGGAGCGCTCTGACTAAATGAAGACCGAATTGGATATGAAAATAAATAACTGATAAGCTACAAGTCATCCAGGGACAAAAACCCAGTACAGAGGAAACGGCTCTTTCCCTGACCCCCCCCCCACATTCCTGCATGTCAGACGCAGTGCTGACTGTGCCTTTAGCTGGCGTGATGGGGGCTGCATGGGACTGATCCATGCTAGGCTCTCGCCAGGTAAAGCAAGCCGGACCCGCCCATTTGCGGTGGGCAGCGGGGGGTGATTCAGTGTGATGGCCATGCTCCCCCCGCATTGCAGCCAGGCGTCCTCCTTGGCCCATGTTCACCCTGGGTGTGTGATGCAGATCGGCCGGTTCGTCTACCCTCAGGACCCTTGGGATTTCCCTGGTCCCAGCTTCACAGGAAGTGCCTGCCTGTTCTCTGCTGTCTGATTGGATGATTATGACCCCTGAAGTCTGGGTGGCAGAACCCCTAGGGTTCTCCAATTGCCCTAGGGTGGTGTGGCGGGCCTGCACCCACTCAGCACCGTCACCAGGCCTGGTTTGACGGCTGTGTCAGCCTGGGTCTGCCCGCACATCTGGCTCTGGAAGGATGCCCCCAACATCACATGACTCCCAGTTCCTTGGAAATTTCCCTCCAAATGCTGAAGCCATGCCACTTGCCCGAACACAGACTGATATGCTGGTGTGGGCCAGACGCTGCGGTTTGCTTGTGACACGTTAGCCCCTGTTCCGGTCCTCTCCCACCTCTCCTTCTTTCGTTCTTCCCCTCTTTTTTTTCTTGAACCCTCGACCTGTGCACCCCACTGCCTGACCTGTCGGTAGCACAGAGACACCCCCCCCCGCCCCCCGCATGTGTAATGCCGCTGCATTGCACTCTGCCGCTGTTTGCCTCTGTTGGAACTTGACACGGCCGCAGCCCGCTTACACAATCATCGCATGGAACAGCACAGCCACTGTTTTTTTATCTTCCCTGCCCAGAGGCATGAATACTCGCATTAACTTTAAATGGTGGTAATATTCTTCTCAAAGCCCCTCCCCCTCCCCCCCCCTGTGGCTTTTGGGCTGGTGGGAGGTGGGGGCAGCGGGGCACTGCAGATTGCATCACCTGCGTATTTTCCCGGGTGCGCTGTCAGAGGTGACACAGTTCTGAGATTGTGGCTGTGTCTGTCTTCAGCGGGTGGGCAGTCTGACCATGACGGTAAAAGCTGTCAACCGGGGGAGGGGGGGGGTGGTGACAGTGAAAGTTTACGTGGGGGTGGGGAGTGGCCCTGAATCATATTTGCTCTTTTATGGGGTTCCTTGAGATTATTATATTAAATCACAAATGATTGGTTAAATTTGGTGTGTCTCTGTTGGGCGGGGCACTGCCCGCCGCATGCCCGCCAGTAAGCACACCCCTTGTGCACCGTAGCCACGCCCCGGTGTGTGTCTGTACGAGCGACTGGCCTGCTGCTTTCGCATCAGCTCCGGAGAGGAACCCGCAATTTCACTGGCATGCAGCATCCAGACATCGCATCTCATCAGCCGATTCTGGCTCTCTGCGCTCCCATGATCCGCCTGTCCGTGGGTGTCACCGGTGCCCTTCCCGCTGACCCTCCCCCAGCCCCCCTTCCCGCTGACCCCCCCCCCCCAGTGTTTGCACACCTGATTTAGCAGTACTTACCTCATATTCGCTGGAATGTGCATGGTTACCGTGTTATTTTGCCAAAATACTTTAAGTGTTGGTCATTTTCAGTGCCTGAAAGTCTGCCTGCCTCTTTGTCCTGTAGAGTTCGACCCCCGGTCCTCAAAAGCCAGTTATGTTACAGTCCGATTACATTTTAATTAGTGCCTGACTCAGACTTGGAGTGTCCCAGCTGAGCGGAGAATGAGTTCTGTGAAGACAATTCAGATCCTTTGAGCAAAAACGAGCGGACCCTGGTCACTTCTGTTGTGTGAAGCTGGTCATGTGTACGCTGCAATGGCTGATGGGTAAAACTGGAGGATTTAACACCCCCCGCCCCTCCCCTCACCAGGTGGCTAAGGTGGAGTACGTGAGGAGGAAGCCAAGACTGAAGGAGGTTCTGGTGAGGTTGGAGGACCATCTGGAGTGCATGTGCACGCCACAGCACCACGTGCTGGAGCACTCTGAGGCAGAACCAGGTAAGCGTGGCCTGCCCTCACAGTACCGCCGTTGTCACGGTGACGCCCCAAGCATGTGGTCGGTCATGAACTTGCCCTGGGTGGCCTCATTATCCTCCAGCGTGAAGCTGAGGTGCGGCTGCATGTTACTGCGAAGCGTCACACTCTTCTCCTCCATGCGCCTACGGGTGCATTTGTCTGCCATTGTTGGGAGTTTTTTTTGGGGGAAAAAACCTTGAAATAACATCTTGCGGGCGTTTTTTGAAATTTTTGAATGAATCCGACAGGGACCATTCGGTGTTTCAACTATGATGTGCTGCCAAGCGGTGGAGTTAGTGTCAGGTGTCACAGGACGAGAGTCAGCATGTCCCAGTTGAGGAGCGTAGGTTCTCCGGCAGCTTCTGGGGGCCTGCATTTTACAGGGCCCCCAAAATAAAAATTCAGAGGCCCGGTTGGTGAAATCTATGTAGTTCAAATTTATTTATATAGCGCATTTTTAAAGCATTGCATTGTCTCAAAGCGCTTTGCATTATCTCTGCCCAAAGCCCCCCAGTGAGCAAGCTAGAGGCGAGAGTGGCAAGGAAAAACTCCCTAGAAGGAAGAAACCTTGGGAGGGACCAGACGCAAAAGGGGGAGCCCATCCTCCAGGGGCCGGCAGCAAAGTCCCAGTTTGTAAAGTAAAATTGTGTATAGTCCAGGTATAAATGCAGAAGGTCCAGCTGCTGTCAGGACAGTGTGAGTGTATGAACAGGCGCGCGCAGTGGACCCTGTCCAAAGACCGCCTGGGCCACAAGCTGCATCGGTGTGAGTGTATGAACAGGCGCGCGCAGTGGACCCTGTCCAAAGACCGCCTGGGCCACAAGCTGCATCGGTGTCAGTGTATGAACAGGCGCGCGCAGTGGACCCTGTCCAAAGACTGCTTGTGCCACAAGCTGCTAGATCCTTGTAAATTCCCTGATCAAAAGCTCCCCAGAAGAGATAAGCAGCTGATTCGGACCGATAAGCCATCTGAAGTATTTGCTGTGTGTCAGTCTGAGTTGGCGTTCATACCCCCAGAGGTCTTCGTGTTCTCAGAAGCCTCTTTATGTAAATACCCTGCATCTCTCTCTGCCCCCCCCCCCCAACTTGTGTTTACAGGCCGCAGTCTGGCTACAGGTAAACAAAGGAAACGCAAAAAGTTAAAGCCAAAAGGAATTTATAGGTATCGTAATAAAACACACAGTTTGCTAAAGTCCGGAGCGCCTATAAGTCAAGCAGGTAGGACTTTAGCATGAGCGGCCAATAAAACGCTTGCTGGCTCACTGCCAATCAGGGCACAGAGAGGTCGATCACAGAAATGAGCCACCAATCGAGCTCAGGGAAGCAAATTCACCAATCACCAGTCACCAATCACGGTTGCCGGAGACTTCACGCAGTCACTCTGCTTTCCTCCCCAGTAAATGTGCATGTCTGTGCTGCTCTCCTTCAGCTCTCGCTTGTTGGCGTCCCTGCACACCATCCCCTCTGCGTGTCCCTTCTCCTCTGTCACATGCCCTGATGGTCGGGTTTGCTGTGCCTGCTCATTTGTCCCATTGTGTCCTCACCTGAATGCGAGGCCACTGCTTCTGAATGATCGCATGTCGTGCAACAGGCCCTGAACCTCCAGCAGATGAGATCTGAGGATGTAGCCTTTGATGAAGCTCTCCAATTGGTCGGGAAATCCATGTGACTTGTGGAATTGTCCAATGAGTGGCCATGTCACTGACATCTTCCCTTCTGCCTGTCCAGCCGACGTGAGGTGAGACGGTGGATCTTGGGGGCCTTCAGCGTGGGACAGGACGAAGAGAAGGGGCCATCAACGTGCTTCAGCTACTCCCCCCTCCCTCCCCACCCCATCTGCCGCCTTTTAAAAGCAGTCATTTAAGAGACTAAAACAGAATTCAGATACCAAAGGTGCTCACTTACCTCAGCTGGTGACAACTTAGTGTGGGTGTCCATACCCGATAAACAGAACGCCGATGATGATGGTGATGATGATGGCGATTACGTCAGCTGTGCTGAACTGGCGACATCCAGGATGGAGGACGACCGTTTGCTGTCTTTCAATGCAGAAGTACACAGCCCAGAAAATGACTGACACTGTGTAAGGGGACCCAGGTGCATGATGGGAAAACTGAAAGGACTCGTTCTGCAAAAATGCCAGTCATTGCTGGACCCTTGTCGGGGAAAAAAATGTGACTGTTAAGAGCGAGGACCAGACTCATTCTGGAACTTTTCCAAAGAACCTTCCAGAATCGTGGGAACGTTCTTTAAACTGGCGATGTTCAAGCTTGAGTTCTGTTTGGATGTTTTTTTTTTCCATAAACAAAAACTTCTATAGTCTGTTTCTTTTATAGCCTCTTTGTTATTCATTGGATTGTATGTCAGTATGGTCTATGCATAAAGCAGATGAGTTCTTTACAATAATTGCTACTAATAAACTATTTATACATTTAATGTTTTTGTGCTTCTCCGCGCTGCAGATAAGCAGGCATGTGTAAAAACGCCAGTCCCGCGTTGCCGGTTCTCCTCTCTGCTGTGACCCGCAGACATTCATTCGCGATGCTACATTATAGATCTTTCCAGTGTTTATTGTCTTTACTTTGTACTCGAAGCATTGTGTAACAGCTGGAAATGTGTGATGAAGACGGGAGAAAAAGTAAAGCGCTTTATTTTTTGGTAAATCAACAAAAAAAAAGAGAAAATATATTATGCTTACTTGTATTCAAGCCAGGAAGTATATTTTCTTTTTGTCTTTTGTGGTGGTGAGACGATATTATTTTAAAAAGGGATATTGGGGTAGGGGGGGGGGGGGGGGAAACGGAAGTAAGATCTCCCTCTGCGACAGGGCCCCTTGCTTGGTGTCATTTTGGGATAAGTGGTCATCAGTGTGCAGATATTGTTGTGCATGGGGGGTGTTGTATGTGCATGGGGGTGTCTTGTTGCATGGGGTCGGCTTGCACTTTTCGGGAGCCCAGGTACATGTGGTTGAGGTCAGTGCTCACACGCACGCATGCACGCTTGCACGCTTGCACACTCGCAGCCCCGTAAGCTCATGCATCGTGTGAGGCCGTCACCCCCCCGACGTCATGCCCGTCACTGATATCGCGGTGTCAAGTCCGCCACAGGCCGGGCTGCTCCCTCCAGGGGCAAAGTTCTCTGCCAACAGGTGAATGAATGGCCTCCTTGTTGCCTGAATGCTGCTCGTCAGGGAAAGCAAACATCCTCGCTAATCCCTTAATCACTCCTCCCATAATGCACCTCGGGGACAAAAGGAGGGGCACGCAGAGCAGCCTGGTGGATGTCAGAGGCGCAAGGGTCCTGATGTTACTGCAGTTTGTCGGTGTGCCACCCTGATTTAGTCGTCCAAAGTTACGCCTGCCGTTTTTTTTTTTTCCTTCTTTTTTTTTTCCTCAGTCGGCAAAATAGTGGTGGAACGGCGCGGCCAGCACTAAAAACTGAGACAGTGAAGGAGGCTTTTCCCCAGACTGTGGTGATGAGGTCTTTTGTTACACTGGTGTTCCTGCTGCACCAAGCTTTCTGCCCTCTTCCGATCAGAACAGCAATGATACTATTTATATATTTATAGTTCAGTAATAAATATATTTCTACTCATTAAACTTTGTACAACCTTTGATTCCAGTAGTTTCCTTGGCGATGAGACCTCACCGATGAGGTCCATGTGGTCAGCTGGGAAGGGTGGGGTCTGGGGGGGTGGGGTCTGGGGGGGTGGGGTCTGGGGTCGGAGGGGTCATGTGTGGCTTAAGTGGGTTAGTGCTCGTGCGACGCGGAACTGAGCCGTTGGTGTGCGACAATAGAATAGTTTGGGCAACGTTGTGTTGAGCTTCTGTCACCCATCTTGTTCAGGCAGGAGTTCGGGCAGAAACTCCTTAGAACAGCAGCGATGTTAATCTGACTCATCCTCTGCTGATAGTTCCCTGCCCCCCCCCGCCCCCCCCCTCCACACCAGGCAGTCACCTGTATGGACACCCTGCTGCCTGTAATCTGCCTCCTGGCCATTGTCTCCCCAGGGAAAGTGCCTTACGTAACTAACTCTCTAGAAGACTGGAGAGGAGGAATTGGAGTGCAGAGCTTAGCTCAGAGGGGTGCCTTGCTTCAGCAGGGACTTTTACAAACCCCCTTTTTGTTTCCCTAATCCCCTCAGTCGCCCCCCTCTCATTAACACCCTCCCCGGTGTGTAGAAATCCTTTATGATCTCTTTTGACCATCATTTTCTAGTTTGCCTGGATGATTACTTCTTTAGCCTTGGATATCTCCTCTTCCCCGTGCCCCCCCACAAAGTCTTGCACTCGACGGGCACCTTCAGAATGGAACGGGGCTGCAGGAAAACGCCAACTTCCCCGGGGGCTGCGGAGGTGAAATGTTCTGTTTTTAATTCTTTATTTTTGGGAAGAGGGAGGAATTCTCTCGCCTCCGGGCGGGTGGAGAGTTATGGCTCTCTCTGATCCTCCGGGGCTCGGGACACATGAAAGCGGTGCAGCTCACACACTCCCCGGTGTTTTGCCCTGTACGCTAACCCGCGAAAAACAGAAAAAAGGAACTTGAAAGGAAAACGAATATATTGCATGTCTGCCAGGACACCAAGGCCATCTGAGGGCAGAACAAAGAGTGTGTCTCTCTGGCTTTTCATAATGGCTTCATTCCTGTCCTCAGCCCCTCCTAAGGACAAAGAGGGATTCATGGATTGGGGGGGGGGGAATGGGTCAGAAGTGAAAAGGGCCAAGGGGAGGTGTTAATAGAGAAGAGTGTTCAGGATGTTAGTTATCTCAAAGAGAACGAGTGAACAGACAGGCATGTGGCCAGTAACAAAGCAGGCTGTAAACACAGGGGGTCCAGCGTGGCGTCCCCCCCCCCCCAAACACGAACCACGGGAGTGCCGCCCCTTCGCAGAACGTTGGCTGTCACTGTGGGGGTCAGCGCTGACGGGTCACGGGTCAGGTGGGAGAGGATGAAACTCGGAAAGAAACCGTTGTTTCTCCAGTCGAAAATCATTCAATGGCCTTGATTTCAAACCTGCGATCATTCTGTTCTGTCTGTCCGACCCCGCCGGGGCGGGGAACACGGGGTGACTGACGGCTGAAGGTGGTGGTGGGGGGTCACTCAGTTAAACCATGCTGCCGCTGACTGCCCCTCCTATTTGATTCCTGATCAGCCACGGTGGTGAGAATGAAGCCCCCCACCCGCAAAGACCTCACACGTGACGGTATCATCGACACGCTCGACTCTGCCTCTTTCATTCTCCCGAGTTAAAAAACGGCAGGCCACCTTGAGGAATCACAGAGGCGACTCTTTGGGGACACTGCGGCCGTGAATGGGGGCCTTTGTCCTGCTGAGGCAGGCGCTCACGCTCTGGTTGGGGGGGCAGGGGCCGCCCGCAGGGACAACACGCTAATTACGCGTTTACAGCTTTCCACTGCTGAGAAAACAGGCCTGGACTTTACGGGACATGCCTTCTGCGAACGAGAGCTCGCTGGAGTGCTTTGTCTGCTCTTTAGGAGGGGCTGGGGGGGGGAGCTGAGGTGTGCAGGACCCCCAGGAAGCCCAAAGAGAACATGGCCCCTGAGATTCGCATCACTGGTCACCTGACGGGACATGCTCCCCAGGCGTGAAACAAGATGCACAGGAGATTGTGTTAGATTGCGTGGCTGATAACCCTGAGAGGGACCTCCTGCCCCCCCTGTGAGTGACCCCGCCCCCCCATTCCCCGCCTGTCTCCCTCCTCTCCTCCCTCAGATTCCTGTGGCCGGCTCGGAGGCTCTCCCACGATCAGCACATAAAACACCCCCCCTTGCTTTTCTTTTCCCCTCATCCCTTCCCTTCTTTTCTGCCGGGCCTCCCCGAATCGGGCCAGCAGTCCCCAGCGGGAAGAGACGCGGCTTTGTCAGGGAGCCGCCGGGCCTGCGTGCGGCCGCTGCTCTCTGAGGTCGCCTTTGTGACGGCTGCGGATGACATGGTGTGCCGGGGAATTTTCGGGAAGTGCAGCTGGGCTCGTCTGTGAAGCCATGCGCTCGTGGCATCGGCCTGACCCTGGGGAGCCCATCAGGGTCCTGTGCCGCTCTCTGTGTCGCTAGTCAGGATGACCGTCACAACTGCGACAATGACCGTGACGATGACTGCGGATGACTGTGAGTAACCCTGTGAAAATGACTGTAACACTGACTGTGACACTGACTGTGACAATGACTGAGACAATGACTGTGAGGATGTGAATGTGTTAATGTGACATCCTGTGTGCCGTGGAGGCCCCGGGCAGCCTCAGCGCCTGACCAAGCTACAGGCACAGGCATTGTTGGGATTTCTGAGAATTCCGACAGTGGGTGCAGCTATAAGTGGTCATGGGTTCGAATTGTGGAAGGTAACCTGAGGTGATCTCACATCCTGCTTTACATACCGCATTGTGCTGCCTTAGTACCCAGGGGAGCTGGTGTACGGGGTGTTACTGGGCTGTCTATCAGCAGGTTCCGATGCCCAGTCTACCTGCCCTGGGGGCCGCTGGCCTCATCTCTGTGTGCCAATCCTGCCCTGGGGGCCGCTGCCCTGGTCTCTGGGGGCCAGTCTTGTCCTGGGGGCTGCTGGCTTCATCTCTGGGTGCCAATCCTGCCCTGGGGGGCACTGTCCTGGTCTCTGGGGGCCAGTCTTGTCCTGGGGGCTGCTGGCCTCATCTCTGGGTGCCAATCCTGCCCTGGGGGGCACTGCCCTGGTCTCTGGGGGCCAGTCCTGCCCTGGGGGCCGCTGCCCTGGTCTCTGGGGGCCAGTCTTGTCCTGGGGGCCGCTGGCCTCATCTCTGGGTGCCAATTCTGCCCTGGGGGCCGCTGCCCTGGTCTCTGGGGGCCAGTCTTGTCCTGGGGGCTGCTGCCCTGGTCTCTGGGGGCCAGTCCTGCCCTGGGGGCCGCTGCCCTGGTCTCTGGGGGCTGCTGTCTAAGGAACCCCAATGTGTTTAAGGTCTCTGTAATCCTAGCATACCGGCCCTGTGCTGCGTGACAGTGTGTGGTGGCCATTACAAAGACTCTAAAGACACATGCAGGCTGAGGGATCCTCAGCCTTTGATGGTACAAGTGGCGGAGAGAGAGGCTTGGGGGGGGGGGGGGGGGGGGGGGGGGGGGGCGGGGGTGGGGGGGGGGCAGGTTCAGGGCAGGCGGGCAGGAGTAAAGCTGACAGTGTATTAACATACCTGACAGGCCGTATTTGCTCTGTCTGTCCCTCAGTCGTTCTTCTCTCCTTTCTGCCCCCCCCCCGACACAGCCCCCCCCACAGCCTTCTTATCCTGCATGAGGGTCAGATTGCGCACATTATGCTGCTTTTTATCTTTCTCTTTTTGTTTTTCTCAGTTTCCTCAATAAGCCTCAGATTTCCACCTCATCCAAAGATTCTGGTCCACTCTGAAACGGCGCCTATTGGGGACCATTTCTCTCGGGGGGGGGTCCCTCCTCGCTGTG